TTCCACTACTTCTAATAATATTGTTTTAAACTGAAATCTATATTTGCAAGTCTAAAGAATGCTGTATATAAGTTGTCTGGTCTCTTTTTTGCAGCTTGGTCTTGTTAGGAGAGACTTGGATTAACGCATTTTGTCAGGAGTTCTCTGAAACATTAGTCATGATACTTTCCTGGCTCTGGCTGTGAACTTATTACATTCCAAGACCTTTCGCGGCATAATCTGTGAACCTGGCTGTTCTTGGAACCAAGCTACGTCCCCATGCTGGATATCACCATGATTGTTGTTGCAGAGAAAACGGGACAGGGCTCACTGACAACCAGACCAAGTCGCGAGGTCAAATTACGTCTACGCAACGAAAGAAGATTGTGACCAAAACAGAGACCTTACCATCTTGGTCTTAAAACTTTTTACTGAACTAAATAATGCTATTCTATCACTAAAAATGGCTGGTTCACTCTAATAGCAGAATTTGGATCGCATCTTTCATTTCAGTGTTTTTTATCTTAATTATCTTTTACCTTGTTGCCATTACTCTAGTCATGGTTTATATTAGCTCAGTAAAAAATTCAAAATGCGAATTTTTGATCCAAGGCCAACTAAATTTTATATGGAAACACTTCCCAGAATATTTCTATTGTTCATGCTCAACCTCTTAAAGGTATTCCAGACTGTTTTCAACAGCATAACTGAATATATGCTGTACAGTTTATTCTTATACTTTGGCTTGATGCTAATCGCCTGAATGACGTTACGTTTGATGCACTTGACCTAAACTCATCGAATTTTTTATGCTTTAACCCATTTCGCCCTTATTTTTAGTCATTTTTTAAATCGATCTTTTAAACTCTCTTATATTTATATTTTCTCATATTCATATACGAACTCCTGTGCATGTTTCCTTCATGTTACCTCAGATGACATGTCGCCTTCCAGATAGCCCCCAACAACCGAATTTCTCCTGCAAACGCCTTAGGCTTGACGTACTCAACGAACCCAAAACTTGCGCTACCGGCCCTGGCAGTTCAGATAATGCTTACAACCGAGTCAGCCCGCCTGCTGATTGGCCGGGACCAGTCGCTTCTACGGGCACCTGCAACGGTGAGGAAATTGGGCAGCACCAGTTATCCATTCGGGGACATCACAGACATCGAGACAGGCATCATTCTCATTTGCATCATCGGCACCGAGTTAGTAACCATCATCATCACCACCCTCGTGGTCATGATCAACATGCAAACGACAGACTTCATCGTTCCGCACTGATCATATCCGATGGCACCGCCGAATCTGGAGCACCTGATGGATCCTCTCCCTTCTCTAGCGTTGCCTCGCACTCTTCTTCCTCTGCCTCTCACTCACCGTCCCCCTCCCCCTCATCCTCTCCATCATCCTCCCATTCACCCTCACACTCCCCATCTCATTCCCACTCACCTTTCTCTTCTTCCGCCTCACACCTTGGCTCCACAGTTCTTCCTCCAGTTCTCTGCTTGCGTTGCCCCTATTGTGGCTTGGCCACAGGCTTGTGGCCCCGATTCGTACGCCATCCGAATGAATGCACCGCTCTCTTAGCTCCTTCTCTCCTCAGTCAGGAGGTGGGTTCTCATCCGATTGCGGATGCCCTTTTTCAATCAGAAAGGCTTAATCTGGCAACAGGGGAGATAAAACAGTCTATCAAGCTGAATGATGATGAGGCTACAGAACACGGCGAGAAACAACAGGCATTTGGTGAAAATAAGCATGAAAGTGAGAAGGAAGATGAACAAGAACAAGAAAAAGGAGATGAAGAGGGCGAGGTGGAGGAGGAGGAGAGAGTGGAGGTGGAAGA